AAAAAAAAAAAAAAAAAAAGAAAAGTAAAACCACCTTGGATCCGCCCTGAGGGCACTTAGTGATGTGAGTATCAGACTTTAAGAGTGAGTCCTGCCCCTGACCAAGAGACCATCACTCCACCCCGGGGCTTCTGCTTTTCCCTTCTCTCCGTGCCCACCACCGGGGTGGACACGCACGCGTCTGTCCCCTCTTGAGCATGTGGGGGTGAACCCATAAGGCGTCCATGTGCAGAGTGGGGAGGGGGGAGGCGACCGTACTCTCACTAGGATTGAAATTTCTCCAATATTCCCTCAGCACAATTCTCCCAGGAAGGCTGATGATTCATAATAAACCAGAAGTCATAGGAAAATTAAATAATCAAGTGTTACATCCCATCTTCTCACCCGAGTGGTGGTTTTAATTCAAAGGAAGAGCTAAAACTGTGACTCTGGACCCATTTGGGTGGGGTCTGGGGCTAAGTGAAGCAGGCTTTACGGTGCACTGCGCAGACCAAACCGTGCCTCCTTCCCTCCAGTCTGCTGAGGCAAAACTGCGATGAGGACTAGAAATAAAGCCTGATCCATGAACAGCCCCTCTCCAGGGCTCACCTGAATAGTGACCTGTAGCTTAGAGGCTACAAACAGAGGCTCGCACTCCCAGACAGAAAGTGCAGTGACACCCAGGCGAGAAGGAAAGTCAGGGAGGGTGGCCCTTCTCCCTGTGGCTCCAGCTACCTTGTGAATCTCTGCTCAGAGTTCCTCAAGCACAGGCAGCAAGGCCAGCCCAGGGCACACAGGACATGAGCTCAGACCAAGAGGCCCCCACCCCGTCCACCTGAGGAAAACACACTGCTCCAAGAACCGCACACCTGGAAATACAACTGCACCTACATGTCCACCAGCTGATGCACGGGGAAACAAAATGTGGTTGATCCATGCAACGGACTATTAATTCAGCCTTAAAAGGAAGGAAATTGTGACACACGCCACCCCAGGGGGAGACTTGAGGACACCGTGCTAAGTAAAATAAGCCAAACACAAAAGGCCACAGGGTACAGAATTCTGTGCATGTAACAAGCCCAGAACAGGAACAACTACAGACCCAGAAAGCAAATTAGTAACTGTGGGCTGGGGAAGGGGGAGGTGTGACCTTTGGGGAGAATACAGAAGTGTTCTGGAATTAGATGGTGATGATGGTTGCACAACCTTGCAAACATACTAAAAATTAACGAACTGTGCACTTTAAAGTGGCGGATTTTATGATACACAACTCCCGCCTCAAAGAAAGAGGGCGCTGCAACTGTGACCAGCAGGAAGTGCCCAGGCAATCGTGTGGCAGAGACAGGGTTTGACCTCACCCATGAGCTCCATGTCCCTCGCAGTGCAGAAGGAAGAGATGCGGACAGGTGGAAGGGGAGAAAGCAAAGAGGAGAGAGGTTCTCAGCCCAGGACGGAGCAGGTGCAAAGACCCAAAGCAGAAGGAAAGAAAGTAGACCCATTTACCCTTTCTTCTGAGACAATACAGGGTCAAGACGTCAGAAGGCCAAGGCAACAAATTCAACCCCAATAAATGCCACATCAATTCAACTCTTAAACTCCAGGATGTTTTACGGCCCCTTCCTTAGTAGGCGATCAATTATGCACCAAAAAAGGGTCGTATAAAACCATCACCCATTCCCACCAGCCAAAAACGCAATGTATCAATATCAAAACTTAATAAGAAGCTGATAAAACAGAAATACTCTAAAAGGCTAAGGCCATATGATATCATGAACAAAATAAACCTCAGAATGTTACCTGTAAAAGTTTACACGTCACTTCAAAATAAAAACGGGCCACTAAGAAGACGTGAGCCGTAAGAGATCACTGCTGCCATTATCACATAATGAAACACCCTCAAAGGGTGTTGAGGTGCAAACATTTGGTTGAAACTCAGTTTTCTCACTCACGGGTTTGGGAGTTTCTTTAATGCATTTAGTAAAATATGTGGTCAGTTCTTTCACAGCAGAATCTCCCAACCTCAGCACTACTGTCAGGGTGGGCCCTGGAATGTGTAGCTGCCTGGCTGTCCTGTGCAGTGTAGGGGTCTGGCAGCACCATGTCAGGAGTGATTCCCTCCTCGCACTCCCACAACCAAAACTGCTTCCAGATGCTGCCAGATTCGGGGTAAAACTGCCCCCTTCCAGAGCCCTCTCTTTGTGGCGACTAACTGCACCTTATCTAGTTGAGCTTTTGACCATTCCCTTGAGGGCCATGTCATCTCTCTCCATTTGTTTGGTTTTCTTAATGCTTCACACCCTGACAGCCTCCCCAGGACAAGATAGATTACAACTTATTAGAGACTTAAAACTGTTTAAGACGCTCTGTCTCCCTGTCGAAATGTCGACTCACTAACACAGGAAAAAAGCAACAAGCATATTGTCAATCACCAAAGACAAAAAAAGACCTCGATTCCTGGTTCCTGCCAGCCTTCCTTTCCTACCCTCCAAAGGCATTCAGAGGATGAGGCTCAAATGCTTTCACTTCCTAAAGGCCACGGTGGGCTCAAGGGCCAGGACCCACTCTGATGTCAGAAAATGCAACCAACTCCATGCCACCCTCCAGCTCAGGAGAGGGTTCTGAAGGGGCTGGAAGGCTTTGCACTAAATCCGTTAGGGATTCTCTGCAAGGTTCTCTCTGCCCCCGACAGCAACTACAGGCATCAGGAAGGACAACCCTACAGGCATCAGGAAGGACGACTGCAGGGGAACCAAGGCCTTACCGTCTGGCGGCATTAACACCTTGTTGTTCTGCGTGCACCAGCCCACGGGGTGCAAGTCGGCGATGACCACATCGCACCAGAAGTCAGCCCTGCGGTCCTCCCCGTAGCCACAGTAGCGCAGGAGCAGCAGCTGGCCACACGTGGTGATGATGGTGGCCACCCAGTACGTGTCTGGGTTGTTCTTGTTTGCCACCTCCAATTTCATTCCCGGCTGGAAGTTGCTTTGAATGCTGATTTCAACCTTAAGGAATCAAAACATAGAAAATCCGTGACTACACACATACACGCACCCAGAAGATTACAAGAACCACTAAAAGTACAGCACTTAAAACCAACACGCTGCTGTCCTACAACAGGTATAAGTTTGAGCGAAATACAAAGCCAACATAAACGCCATGCTGAATTTCCCAGCAGCCACATTCGGGGGTAGGGAGAAGTGATACACAATAGATAAAACTGATTTTAACAATATATTGTATTTAGCCCAACATATCCAAAATATTATCCTCTCAACATGTAATCAATACTAAAAATAATGCAATATCTGCCATTCTTATTTTCTAGTGAAGCCTCCACACCCAGGGTGTATTCTACACTCAGCGCACATCTCAATTTGGACCACACACTTTTCAATTCTTAAGCAGACCCACGTGGTAGTTGGCTACTTTGTGAACAGTGCAGCCCTAGGAAATGAATTCTTTTTAAATTAAGCGTTATAATCTATTGCTATTTATCATCCCTCACCCCCCAAAAAAGAAGCTTTCTAGTTTTTCATGACATTGCAAAGCCAATATATCTATAGTCCACAAGCAACTATTGCTTAAAGGAGATGACGGAATTGTAAGTTACCCTTCCAGGGCCCAAGGCATCCTTTAAACCTGGCGTACAGGCCTGGGAAGGTTTGCACCCTTCAGGGCAACCTCCAGCCCTGCCATCCAAGACACTGCACTGTGGCTTATGGGGAAGCAACCAGAGAATTGACTGAATCAAATAAGGCAAGAGTGGGCTCCATGCAGAAGACATTGGTACAGAATGGAAGACAAAAGTTGTCCCAAACTGCCCGAGGAACCTACTAAATCATCCCAGTGTCTTAAGATACAGATGTTACACTAGCTTTTGCAGGGCCATGTCCATAGGAAACCTTCGGGTTTGTTATGTTTTAATATTTAGCTCCTGGTTTTACATAAACAGCCACATTCATGATAAACTAGCAGTTACAGCATGAGAAATATAAGAAGAGAAAGGAGAGTGCTATCCATCTTCACAGGATCACACGCTTGTAGTAAAATTTTAAATTCCTTTTCAAAAAGAAAACTTTACCTCCAAAAAAGGATAAAATGTTTTATTCAAAGACGGAATCAAGCTGGGTACAGTGGCTCATGCCTGTAACCCCAGCTACTCAGGAGGCTGAGGCAGAAGGATTGCTTGAGCTCTGGAGTTCAAGGCCAGCCTGGACAACATAGCCAGACCTTGCCTCAACAGAAAATAAAAATAAGAAATCAAAGTTCTAGCTTCCTTATTCAAACAAGGAGCCAAAAAGAAAACGAACAAATTAAGGAAGTGTTCCAGTTTGCTTCTGATATTGAGTCTGAATCTTTGTGCCCTGGGTAGCCCAGTGAAAAAAATATGTCTCAGAGTTAAATCTCCATTTCCATTAAAACCATATCAATGCCTAAGAACTTGGATCCTAGAAATTTAGTGCTTTTTTAACTAATGATAAATTACCAATATCTCACACCCAAGCAAAAAATCTGATAAAAACTGTTTTGTTTTTTTTTTCCAGGACTTGCCCTCTGCTGAGCATACTATCTGCATTATTTAAAGAAATACTCTTGATAGAATGGTTTCATTGGTTGCAGCCAAACGCTTTCATCATATTAACGGTTATTTCCTCTGATAAGACTCACGTGCCCACAAATGGCTATAAAACTTCGATGTGTCCTTTCCAAATCAAAATATCAATTCAAAATAGAAACCTCTAGCCATTGCACCCACAAAGGAGACATCACACATTAATACCTACTTGCCTGGTTGGTGAGCTTTTTATTTATTCAGACCAGCCTTACCTGTGGCTCATCTTCCCTGCAGCTATCTATGAAAACCACCCCAACTCCCACAGCCCCTCTTTACTCCTAAGAAATCTGGGCAGAATTCCCCTCTTCCTATTGCCCTTCTCTTGATCAGACCTCTGGCTTCTCCCTGGAGAATCCAGACCCCTCATCCCCCGCCCTGCAGGTGCCGATCAGAGGGGAGGGGCTCCCTCACATACATGTTTGAAGGACGTGTGAGGCGCAGCACTGGCCCCCGTTTCTTCCAAATATTCTCCCCAGTTAAAGCCGATTTCCTCCAAGCTGGAGCCTTCTTCTGCTGGAAGAGAAAAGACGAGAATATCAGCACTGGAGGGAAGGGTAGAAGGGTGCTGGCCTTCAACTGAGATCAGAAAAATCCTTGGTGCCAAAGGATAAGTTAATTCTATGGGTTATGGGAGATTCCTGAATTCCGTGCAGTTTCAGATTCCTGAGTTTAGAGACATTGGCTAAAGAAAGGAAAACACTGGAGAAATTCTGCTTTGACCACCCTCACTACCCTTAAGTGCTCTCAAGGCAAATCTGCTACATGCACATCTATTAGCCGGCAATTAGCTGCAGTGGGAGGACAAGGTACAGGAACCCGCCAGGGCCCTGAGTAAGCACTGTGATGTACAGAGGAGGACACTGCCTGTCCACAGCAGGGATCTTTTTCTTTTTCTTTTTTTTTTGAGATGGAGCCTCAAGCTGTCCCCCTGGGTAGAGTGCTGTGGCATCACAGCTCACAGCAACCTCCAACTCCTGGGCTCAAGTGAGTCTCCTGCCTCAGCCTCCCAAGTAGCTGGGACCACAGGTGCCCGCCACAACGCCTGGCCATTTTTTGGTTGCAGCTATCATTGTTGTTTGGTGGGCCTAGGCTGGGGATTCGAACCCGCCACCTTAGGTGTATGTGGTTGGCGCCTTAGCCACTTGAGCCACAGGCGCTGAGCCCACAGCAGGGATCTTTAACCAGTTTGCCAAGAGAGGATCTTAGGTGTGCCATGAACATTTTTAAAGATCATTGATTAAATTATTTTCAGCACAGTAAGTATATTCTTTTTCTTCTCTCTCTCTCTTTCTCTTTTTTTTTAATCAACATAATTTAAGTGTGCTGTGGAAGTTTAACTATAGGTTCAAATCTGCCATGAGATTTTAAAAAGGATGAAAAACACTAGTCTAGGGGATTCTAAGATTACAAATAATATCCCATTCAAATCACAGGGCGTACTTTTTCTTTTTGTTTGTTTGTTTTGTTTTCTTTAATGAAGGCTCAGTTACTTGAAATACAAAATCCTCCACTGAAACACGTGGGGAAAGCGCTGTGCACTATCTTGCTTTTTGTCCATCTCTCTGGTTCAAATCAGTGTATTTATTCTTCACTTTTCACCTACAGAATTACCCAGGGAGCAAAAATTCTTTTATTTTTTAAATTGGGAGAGACCTGCCATATTATCAACATTATTCATGTGTTGAAAGACCATTTCCTGGGAGGCACCTGTGGCCCAAAGGAGTAGGGTGCGGGCCCCATATACCAGAGGTGGCAAGTTCAAACCCAGCCATGGCCAAAAACTGCAGAAAAAAGACCATGTCCTGTGAAACTGATCTAGCAGACAAGCTGAATTCAACTAGACTATGAAGTAGGCTATAACTTGTAATCTTATTTTCTTTTAAACATGAATTACTGACTTAGATGATGTATTGAATACCAAGATAAAGAAAATGCACCTAAAAACATTAAAATTCGCAGGGGTCACCAAGTCCAGGTGGTTTTGATTTGTGTCAATCAAAGTAAGTTACTGCTCAGCCTATAAATAAATTCCAAAATAGCCAATTCAAAAATAAATAGGCAAGTAAATAAAGCAATATCCTAGATTGTTACGGCCACAAGGAAAGGAACTTTGGAAAGCTCTGGCTCTGATATCATTTTAAGAAAAAATAACTGAAGCCCAGAAGGATTACGGCAAGTTAGCAACAGAAATAGACCAGGTCCCCAACACGCCTGATGCCCACCCCGTCAGGAACCCCAGGGCAGGGATGGGCAGAACTCTCAGGGCCAGACCCAATGGCAGACACCAACAGGACAGGTGCTTCTCTGATCCAAAGGAATAAAGAGAAATACAATCAAATGCACAACCAGGTTCTTTAAGTACTATTTGAAATCTGCACTGATCCACACACCCAGACTCTAGAGGAAACCAAGCAATTCCCCAAACCATTAAGGCTGTGCGTAAGGCATGATTTCTGTAATTAACAAGCCCCAAATAACACATTTTCAGGTACAGATAGCATAACTGTGTTGTCATGGTTTCAAATGGAAAGAAATAACAAGGTATACACAATATTTTACTCTATCTGCAAAGCTCTATCCTCAGGAAAAAACACACAGCAGGGAGTGCTGTCCAAACAGGCCAACCAGAGCTTCAGAGGTGCAGGTCTCCCTCGCAATAGCGGTGCGAGGGACACTCAGGTGCAACCCACAGATTTTCCACCACAAGAGACCATTTCACCCGCCAAGAGCAAATACTGCTTTTGGTCATGCAGTTGGTGGAGAAATGGCACATCCCCCATCCGCTGGGCCTAGAGAATTAGGGACAGGTGGGTCTCAGAAGAAACGAGGAAGCATAATTCTCTCCTAATCCTCACTACAGTCTCAGGAATTGAAAGAAAAGGATAATTTTTGTAAAGTCAGAAGACGCGAAAGTGAAAGTTACCTTGACTTTTGCCTTCCATAGACGCACCTCCTTAAATTTTACCCTAATAGGGTGACTTATACGCAAACCTCCAAGAAGACAGAAAAGAACAACCCCAAGAGCTAAGCTTTCCTTCATAGCTCTCCCTGCACCATTCCACCCAGGGACTGAAGCTCTCCAAGAGGAAATGTGCTCCCCCAAAGACGGGTCCTGCAGCCCCAGCTGAGGATGGGTGATGCCAGGGAGTTAGTTCTGAGTGACACTGTGAAGTATGCCCAGGGGGAAAGCAGTCATCCTCTGGAAAACACCTCCAGGTGGTGGCACCTGCTGGCTCTGCCCGCAACACGCCCACACACACACACCTCCTTTAGGAAGTGTGACGCTTCCTAAAGGAGGTGTCAACCCCACCTGTTTCTGTGCCCTGGTGCGGCAGTGTCTAATGACAGCAGAGACCTTGCAGACAAAGTCCAGAATTTCTTTCCACCCTCCTTGTCTGACCGCAGCTCAACCAGACCCTGCCCAAGCTCCTTGTGCTGGCTTGTGTTGCACTTCCAGGCCCACAAAACCATCGCCAGCCTCCCTGGAGCATCCTGAGACCTGCATTATGTTTGCGCATCAGCTCTCTCTCTGCCATCAGCTGGCAAAACTCACAGGAAATTTGATCCCTGATATGGCAGTGCGGGCACAGGGTCATAGAGGGAGGTGTTTCAGTCGTGGGGGCAAATATCTCATGAACAGATTAATGCCCTCCAGTGGGGATGAGTGCTAGCTCTGCAAGGAATGGACTAGTTCCCAGGGTAGATAAAAGAGTCTGGCTTCCCCAGTTTTCCAGCCTGTGACCTCTCTACCCAAGCCCACTGCCCTTCTGCCAGGAGTGCAAGCAACATGGGGCCTCCCAGACATGGCTGCCCTGTCTTGGACTTTCCAGCCACCAGAATTGTGACCCAGTCTCTGGGATTCTGTTAGAGTGACACCAAGTGGCCTAAAGCATCACTTCATTCAGCACCAGGCAACCCTCCCACGAACCCTGAGCAGTGGACACTCATAGAAGGGATGGCAGGAGCTTGGAAAAGGTGAGAGAATTGCCCAGATCAGGAGTCTGATTTCAAAGCTGAGCTCTCTGAAAGCCCCTTCCTCCTCCTTCTCCTGCTTGAATCAGGCAGCAAAAACCACCCTCTACCCCCAGCCCCATTTCTCCCTGGAGGATCCAAGGGAGACTCCTAGGCCGGCTCATCTGTCCCTCTGTGTTGGTGAACTTCCCAACATGCCAAAGCTGGGCAGAGAGAAGATGGTGGGTACTGAGCCCCAGGACCTGTTTGTCAGGAAGGAACAGAGAATGTGGGAGAAGATGGAGTAAAACTCAGTGCAGGGCCAGGAATGAAAGGCTGGTGGAAAACAGAAGGGGCCGACTTGTTGAGAGAGTAACTCCCTCATCTCAGAAACATTCAATTCAAGGCTGAACAGTCAGAAACCACCTCCTGCCCCCAGTACATGGGATGAGATGCCTTAGCAAACCCCATCACCACTGCCCACTAAGATTCAATGATTCTATCACTCCAAACCAGGGGTAACCGGGAGCCTAAATTTCTCAGCTTCGACTTTGAGATCACTTGTTGCAGTTTCTTATTCTTCATATAATTCTACTCTGTGCTACTAATATTTTACCAAAATTCTTTCCTCACCAAAGGTTAATTCATAACAAGCTGCATTTCCCAGTATCACGGGCTCTCCAATCTTTGGAGAAGACTCAATCAAGTTAACCACAAGGTCCGAGGAAAACACCAGCTCTACTCTGTGGGGGTCAGTAAGAACCGTAAGTACCCCTAAGTGTCAGACCCAGAAGGGAATTTAAAAAATTAAAATCTTGGCAGCCAGCACTGATGACTTTGTGCTGTTTTAACAAAGTCATGAGGAAATTTAGGGATCCTCACAGAACAGTCTTTTAAAATCTGTCACGTATGAACCTTCCTGGGTCTAGTAGCCCTGAGAAGCTGATTCTCTAAAGACATTTCAGTGAGCAATAGATAAACACACACCATGTTTATGAGGCGAGGTCTTGTAAACCCAGTAAAAATATTTATAGCCGATTCATAAACCTCTTAAACCCCAAACATTTTAGCAAGGAAACACTGACAATCTCCCTCCCCAGCAAATGAATCAGCGGGAGGTCTTTCCCCATGATGTCATGAAAACTGACTATGACAAGCTACTAGGGAGATTTCACAGGGTAAAAGAAAACAGGTGTGTTCATTAACAACAATCCTGTTTTAGAAAACAGAAAGTTATCTGTGAAACCAAAATATTTCGTAATAAACATATAAAAAGAATATCTGCCTAGAAGGTGGAGTACAAGTGAAATTTAGAGTGAAATGGGATAAACAATTGGCCCATACACCTTTTTGTTAAGTAGTAATAAAATCTCGAGTTTGCAATCTGAAAAGAGAGGCCTTTACAAGGCTGAATATTACAGCCAGTGGCCCCTACCCAATAAAAGAACTGAGAACTGGCAGATGTAGGAGGAACCAAGTTCTTTGTGTTGTTGTTGCAGTTTGGCTGGGGCCATGTTCAAACCCACCACCCTCAGTATATGGGGCTGGCGCCCTATTCACTGAGCCACAGGTGCTATCCAGAGGAGCCAATGAGCACCCTCTTAACGTGCTAGAAATATATATATATTTCTTTTTAATGTGTAAAAAGTAAGAAGATATTGCATCTTTCTTATTTTAAATGCTGATAATCATTTCCTACTATCATAAGATTCAGAAACTACTTCTACAGTGAGTGTTTATTAAAAAACAGAACCAATGGCATAAACAGAAGGGCAATGTAGCCAACTTCTGACCCTACATCTAGGGTCCCACCACTGGCGGAGACCATTTTCATAACACAAAGACTCCTTCTGGCTCTCCCAACTACCCGATGGCCAGAGTTGTTCTAAAGGAAAAAAAGAAAAAAGACATAACATGGGAAAATCACCCACTCAAGGGAAGCCACAGCTTTTCAAAGAGGGTTAGAAAACAAAGGGCTGCCTTGAAGTCACCCAGAGTTCCCAGCACGGCCAGGAGGATCTGGGTTTCCGTCAGAAGAGTGCTGACCCCTTTCCTTCCCAAACAGACAAGCCTGTGCTTCTCCACTTAATAATGGATTCCCCAGCACCAAAGAAAAGATTCAAGCCCACATTTTCAGCGTGATTCTTTCCACTGGGAGGCTTGCACCATCTATACACATGCAACACCTGCTGTCTATAGACCTGGTCGGGAAATTACACTTAGCAGGTCTGTAAAAATTATATGAGGGGCTCAGCACCTGTAGCTCGGTGCTTAGGGCGCCGGCCACATACATGGAGGCTGGTAGGTTCGAGCCCAGCCTGGGCCTGCTAAACAGCAATGACAACTACAACAAAAATATAACCAGGCCTTGTGGCGGGCACCTGTAGCCCCAGTTACTTGGAAGGCTGAGGCAAGAAAATCACTTAAGCCCAGGAGTTTGAGGTTATTGTGAGCTGTGATGTCACAGCACTCTACCAAGGGCAACATAGTAAGATTGTCTCAAAAAAAAAAAAAAAAAAAAGATGCTGAGGAATCTCCTGGATGCTCTGTCAGTGTCAGTGTATTCTTCTTGCTTCTGTCACAGCAACCTCAGATACCTAGAGTCCCAGCATTCACATGGAGGGGACTTCTCTTTGGACCCCCAGATGATGTGGGCTCTACTATCTGCGAGGCGCCCAAAGCTCAGGGCTATACCGTCTCCCTACATGGAACTTCAAATTTTGATGCCTGCCATATAGCTTAGACACATGCTCATAAACCCGTCACCCCTCATTCAACAGCCAGTTCAGAATCAGCTGAGGAACATGGCATGTGGCTTCCCTGGAACATGGAACACGTGAATTCCCCCTGAAAGTCTCCCCAGGAAAAGGCCCTCAGCACTAGGACCCCATGCAGCCCCAAACATATCTGCGTGGGGTGCAGAACAAAGGATCCCACGAAGGAGTTCAGAACTGAAAATGTTCCCGGTGTTGACAGGTTGAAAAAATAATTCTAAAAACTTCTTAAAGAATCCTACTCGATTCATTATTTGAATGCTCAAAGTAAAGACTGGAGTTTCTAAAATAAACTCGGCCTCTGCACTCTCCCAACTTTCAACCCTGGTTTAAATTTGTTTCTGCTTTACAAGAGACTATATTTGTAGCACCACCTGAAACTGTCCTGCCCTCAGGAGTACACACAGAAATTCCAAGGAAAAGGGAAAGTAGATTAGCCCTCTTAGGGGGGAACAGGAGTGGAATCTGGGCCAGTATCTGAAAAACATTAAGGTAACTTAGAGCTATTTGGAAATGCTATTTCTACTTTTATTAAAGATATGGGCATCTTGTACAATTTAGGCAATCCCCCACGGGCCAGAGGAACTAACCAGCTAACCAGTAGGTGTGGGCTCCGGGCAGGGACCCTCCTTGTGCTCTTTCCCACACGTACCACCATCCTCTGAGTACAAATCACCCCGCAGACACCAGACTATCAGGAATGAGTCTCAGAGCCTCCTTGAGCGAGGGAGATATACTACAGCTATGTGAACGTGAAAGGCCAACACATGGTTGGCTCTTACACAGATCTGCAAACACACCACAGAGAAGGGTACAGTAACAGAGCTGGATGCGTGTGGACGGCACACACCACAAACACGAAAGCCCAGGAGGCCACAGCTGGAAAGGTAACTTCACTCAGCAAAAGACAAATCTGTCCTTAAATAGAAGTAGAATAATTAAGATCAACCTTCAGCCTATGGGACTAAGCCTTCTCAGAAGAGAATTTCCATATTTCCACCCGGCAGTAATGATTCTTCACACACATTCTATGCGTTGGGGGGGGGGGGGGGGGGGGGGCGGCTGAGCTGATTCTGCAACAGATCCTATCCTTTCGTTAACATACAAAAGTATTCACTTATTTGAGGGGTTTCCAGGTTTTTCAGATATAGGTGCACTTTAATAAACTTAATCTAACAAATTCAATGGCATCCAATAATCTGTAATTCTGTCGTTGACTAATCTCATCAAATGTGGAGATGAACTTAGCAACCTCTTTAGAAGGCGGTCAAGCCTCCCACTGAGTCACTGAGCAATGATTTTTACAGGAATTCACCACGGCAAATGTTCATGACTCAGACGGCTCAATTGTCCTTATTAAATTGTTATGTAGAAAAGAAAAAAATAAATAAAATAAATAAATTGCTATGTAGAAAATAGGGTAATCCCTTAAAAAAAAGTATTCCTTTTAGATAAACACATTATTATGTAAGTATTTAGAAGAAGGGGCATTTATAAATTCATTAGTTGTATATTAAGATGCAATGAAAGACTGTGCTGGGGGTTGTCTTTTCTTTTCAAAGTTCTTTCTTTTTGAGACAGAGTCTCACTATGTCACTGTCGGGAGTCACAGCTCAGAGCAACCTCAAACTCCTGGGCTCAAGCGATTCTCCTGCCTCAGCCTCCCCATTAGTTAAGACTACAGGCACCCTCAACAATGTCTGGCTATTTTTGTTTGTTTGTTTGTTTTCTTCAGCAGGCTCAGGCTGGGTTCAAACCCACCAGCCCTGTTACATGTGACCAGCACTCTAACTGCTGTGCTACGGGCACTGGGCCTCTTTTCAAATTGCTTGAAGGGAAAAATACTTTACCACAGATACCTGTGAATTAACTTTCTTTCCCATGATACAGGTTTCCGAAAGATGTGCTTTGGAAAGTATCCTGTGTCTTGCTGACCCCAGACACTTAGGTTTAGGCAGATCCTGCTCTCCTGCCTCTCTCCTGCACATGGGAGAGAATTCTACTTCCCTGTCTCCCTTTCTGTGGCAGAAATACTACCAACTTCTGGTCAAGGGGTGCTGAGCAAAATGGCATTCATCTCCTCTGAGCTAGAGCACCGAAGGGCTGAGTGAAGACCTCAGCTCTGCATTTCCTGGGCATGACACACTCTGGAGGACCATGTATGACAAGGTCTTTGCCACTGAGACACTGAAGTGATGTCATCTCGCTATAACCTGGCTTGCTATACCGAGTACAGTAATATTAATTTGACCCAAATTCTGCATAACTTTAAAACTGCTATATTCTTTTAAATAAGATAAAAGGCTGGGCTTGGTGGCTCACAACAGTCATCCTAGCACTTTGGGTGGCCAAGGGGAGAGGACTGCTTCGGGCCAGGAATTGAGATTAGCCTGGACAACAGAGCAAGATACCATATCTCCAAAACATAGAGGATTGTTTCAAGTCCAGAAATTTGAGGTTACAGTGAGCTGTGATCATGCCATGACACCCTATCCTAGGTGACAAAGAAGACCCTGATTCAAAAACAGAAAGAAACAGGACACCAAATCCAGGGAACATGTAGGATCCTAGATCCACAAATGTTGTCCCATGGTTTCCTGAACATTTTCAGGAAGATATTGGTTAATATATCACAAAGCTAAACAGATCCAGAAAATGAAATCCTACCTGAATCAAGATCTCCATTTCCATTCGCTGAACCAAGATGCTTTTCCAAGGGTGAAGATGAAGGGTCTTGCATAGTGGAAACAGACAAGCTGCTCTCCATTCCTGATGAGTAATTATCCCCTTCTATGATTCATTAGTTCATCCTGCAGGAAGAATTACCTAAGAGCAACCAAAAAAAAAAAAAAAAAAAGAAAGAAAGAAAACAACATAGCGCTTTAATTATATTAATAATATTAACTTGTTTTGTAAGATTCCAAAAATAATGTAATCCCATCAGTGTTGCTACCATTTCATTACAACATTTAAGATTCAATGTACTGTCCATAATAGAAAAATACAGTATAGATGCCATAGCTGACCACCTGCATGCACTGACCACCTCCGTAAGTTGGTCTAATGGCCATAGATTGAACACGCACCACATGTGTGTATCAGTGCAGGAGCCCAGTTCCTTATGCTGACCACCTCCATATGTTGACCACCTTGTTACAGTCCCTTGGGCAGTTGACTTAGAGAGGTTCTACTGTGCCAGGAATAAAAACTACAGGGTACACCTCCATGAAAGGTCACAGGGTAGCAAAACCATCAGTTCTCTAGAGGTCATTGTCACCACCAAGATGGACACTTTTTTTTCACCAACTAACAGACCCTACACTTCTATTCCCAATGCTTCCCAGAAACACTGACTGAGGCCCACCTCTGGCTCAATGCTATGAAACAGCAGAGCCACCATGACCTCAGCTTTAGACAAGCAAGAACCATACCCCACAGCTCAGCAAAAGGGCCTCCCGAGTCACTCGTGATCTCTCAGCAAAACCAGCTGAAGTATCAACAGTTAAAGCAAATAATGTGTGTTTGTACCAATTGGAAATGGGGACAATATGTTCCTGGTAATAGCAATGCTATTCTGCACTTGCCTTCTAACAAGACTAGGGGAAAAAGAGGCAGAATTAGAGCCGCTTCTCACAGCATCCTACAACCTAATTCCCCTATGTCAAGAGGCCGGAGCTGCAGGAGAAGTTGGAATCAAGGAGGCACCACTCCCAGCCCTGCTGCGGAGACACAGGTGCACCGTGTGTTTAAATCCCTCTTTTATCTCGTATATAGACAGACTTTTAACTCAACAAAAGGGCAGAAAGGCAAGTATAGATGAAGAAGAGAAAGAATACAGAGAGTGCATCTCTGCCTACCACTAGGGTATTTTGTGACTCCCCAACTGGTAAAATATCTTTAGGAACAGCACATCCTTCTTGAATCTCACACACACAGACACACAGACACACACACACACACAGACACACACACACACCCCCCTTTAGTGCTATATGCTTTACTTTCCTGAAAGACATTAGGAGATACTGTCAAAACTAAAGGTTCATAAAATAATGTGTTTGCATTTGCGCCGCAGCTGGAAAAAAGCTGGAGACTGCTGCCAGGAGCTGACGGGAGGAGATTAAAACGTACCAGGTACACAGCCCCAGAATTTAATCCAACAGGCACTTAATTATCCACCTGTTGCATATAAACTATTACACCAGACACGGCAGAAAGAACACAAAGCCCTTCTCAATCAAAATACAGAGAAAGAAAATACCTGTTTGAGAATAGGAATTACACCTAGACTGATTCATTGAACAATAATCTGGGGGCCTGACAGCTGCAAAGGCTAGTGTGTGAATAGCAAATGGAAGGACCACCCTGCGGAGAAGGGCCCCAAGGTCACTGTCCATTCATTCAACACTCAGAGCCCGGGGTCCAACATATTTTCTAAAAGAAAATTAAAGGTCCAGGCCCTGAAAAGAAGTCAACATCCGTGATACAGAACACTCCAGTTAGGACTGGGTGGGACGTGGGAGAGCTGTGAGGAAAGGCAGACTATTCAGATGGCTCCGAGGTTTTTTTAAAAATCACACCAAGGACAGGAGCGTAGGAGCCCTGGAGACCCGGTGTACCATGGGAGCAGAACAGAGAACCCATTAGAGTCTCCATCCCAGCCGTCTCATAGCTTAGATCTAAGAAAGACCAGGGAAGAAAAGGCATAGACAGGAATAATCTGAACCCAAACACAAACTAGATTTTGACTTTTTAATAATTGTTTTACAAAATGATGTCATCTCATGTTTGCAGTGCTCATTCCATGAGCTGAGGTTAAGAAAGCTAAGCTGGAAACGACACCAAGTAAAGGAGCCAGTTTCAGGGATCGGTGAGTTTCAAGAGTTTTTTGAAGTGGAAGATGGTGACCACCTCCGTATGTTTGCTATAGAGGCTGGCTCGTTCTATCCCTGGGTGTCAATTTGCTAATTAATAGCCCACCCCAATGATGGACAGAACTGCATCCACCTGAAAGCATTCCTTCCAGACTCCTGGGTCAACAGGGTCACAGGAAGTTAAGGACGGTGACCGCCACTTTCATGAAAATGAACCTGTTGGAGAAGCAGGCACAGAAGCAAACTCATGGGCCTACACCCTGACTCTGAAGATTCTAGCTGTCCTTCCCTGGAATGCACACAGCAGGCAGAGCTGCTAGGGAGAGGGGGGCCTCCAAGCTCTGGTGTCCTCAGCCTGGGGCGGACAGCAGTAGGAGTGCCACCAGCCCATCCCCAGCCACCTGCCAATCAGCCATCAGCAAGGGCCCCCCCTCCACCGAGTCTCCCTGCAATGCAACATCGCGATGGACGCGCTGTGCACCCCAACTGTGCAGGGGGCGCACTGAGTGCTTCCTGCATCACTCGGTCACCAGGTCAGTCGTTCAACATCCACTGACCCAAGATGGCAGGGGCATGATGAGGGGGCCAGCGCCACCTCTCCCTGGGGTGAGCCTTTGGGGAAACTACCAGAATATGGCGGGGAGGAGAGCGTGCAGCTGATGGCTGGAGGGGAAACAGCTGGAAGGCACAAAGGTGACCCAGGAACGGAGGAAGGAGGAGTGGGGGGGCCTAGAAGCACAATTATGGAAACCCCAAATCATGATCATCAGAAACATTCAGCTCCACGAACAGAGGCTTGGAGCCACTGACCCAGCAGCACAGCTCTGAGAGAGAGTGGGGGACACAGGACACAAACTCCGCCAGTCACATACTCTGGAACTTCAACTTTCACAGTCAAAGGCAAAATGACAGCCCAGGAAATATAACAAGTGAGTGCACCCCCCGCACCCTCACTTGGCCATATGGGGTCCAGCTCCCATTCACCCCCAGCCTCCCTGTGTGAGAGTTGATTTGGGGGGGCTTACTTTTGAGGCACAGTTAAACCCATCTTGTTCCATCAGTACAAAAGTAATGGCAGCAGTTACGGTGCTGTCGTGAATTTCCAGATCGCAGTCACTGCACTGTGGGTACGTATGCGACTGTCTCTGATTTTAGGAAAAACGCACTATTTAGGAGTAAAAATCATGTTGCTTGCATCTTACTCCCAACAAACAGGGGTCTACACAGATGATAAAGTAAACACGGCCACGTGTTAACATTGGAGGAATCTAGGTACTATGGCAACTTTTCTGTAAGTCTGAAATTATTTCAAAATTAAAAGGTTTTAGAAAAGAAAAGAAAAAAAAAAAAAAAAGCAACAGCAGCAGCCTCGTCATGGTGGGGAAAACATCAGTCTTCCGGGTGTGATACCCGCTGGTCCTTCATTAGGGTTATCCAGGCTTACAGTGAAGAATCTTCTCAGCAGTCTCGGGAACCCGACCTACTGGTAAGAAGGGCAGTTTCTGCCCATCCCAAGGGAAGCGATGCCAGTGTCAGCGTGACACACACACTTCCATTTGGCTGTTTTACCAACACCTGCAGTGAACATGAACTCGGAATCCTCCTGGTAACCCCAAGATGTAAGTGTCCCATCTCACTGATGAGCAGCCTGAGGGATTAAGTGACTTGCCCAAGGCCACACAGTCGGCTAAGGGTAGTGCCAGGATCAAAACCCACAAACCTGGCCCAGAATCCATGCCCTACCCAGCCAATCAGTCATAATTCCCTGCCTACAATTTCCAGATTTCCTATAATCCAGGGCTGACATTTATATGCTTTTAAATAACCACTTTTTTTTTTATGTTCATTTTTGAGACAGAGTCTTACTCTGTTGCCCCGGGTAGAATGCTGTCCTGTCACCACAGCAACCACAGTCTCTTGAGTTCTAGTGATCTTTCTTGCCTCAGCCTCCTGAGGAGCTGGGACTACAGGCGCCCACTGCAACAGTCCACCCAGCTAGTTTTTCTATTTTTAGTGGAGACAGGGTCTTACTCTTGCTCAGGCTGGTCTTGAACTCATGAGCCCAAGCAATCCACCTGGCTCAGCCTCCCAGAGTGCTAGGATTACAGCTGTGAGCCACCATGCCTTGCCTAAATGGCTACTTTTTAATCATTAAGCACCTAGCATATGGAAGGAGCAATTAAAAAAAGAGAGAGAGAGAGAGAAGCAAGGGGACTCCACAGGCTGAGATCGACCAGGGAGCACCCAACACTCCTGGGCATGGGGACTTTTTTCCCAAATCAGTTCTTCCTGGAAAACTTCCCTTAAGAGTGTACATTAAGCTTTCCCTAGCTAATTCTAAAACATGTATCATTTTAAACTAACTCCTGGACTGGCAAGGGCTGACAACGTGCAATTTTACCGTGTACACATTGATGGGATGTCTGATTTATTTATGCCAGATAGGACATTGAGCACTGGGGATAGCTGTGTAAACACTAGAGGCGGCTGGAGAAGAGTCTAAAACAGGAGTCCAGAGGGAGCCCAGGTCACTGGAGTGGTGAGCATGGGGGTTCAGGGGCAGAAGGAGGTGGCAGAGGCTCAGGGGAAATGCCCAGAGGCTGGAGTGGAAACCCACAGCCCAGCAAGAGCACAGGCTGCAGACTCGGGGGCGGAAAAGGAGCTGCACACGACGACACCAGTGCCAGGAGACCCTCGTGGAAAACCCTAGGAGCCTCCACACAGAGGGCGGTGAACAGGACCGCGTGGCCACATGTTCTATTTATTCCCAAACATTTGCTGATCCCATTAAGTGTTGGGCACCATCCCAGGCACTGGAAGACACCTGGATTAAAAACAAAAGAATTTCCTGCCATAGTAGAAATTGCACTCTAATTGGAGGAAAGAGCCAACAGATTTCTTTAAAAAATTAGTAAATTAAATACTGAAGTCTGTGAGAAGGTGCTACATGCT